TAAACGATCATGATACCATGAAGGAGTTTGAGAATTTTGTTCTTAACGAACAGAAGGACGAGCCCGTCGTGATTTTTAACGAAGTGCTCCACGCAGAAGGTGATCCGAGGTACGTCAAACTGAAACTCACTGATGACTGGAAAGAATTCCGTCCAAGATTCAAAGACTGTACCTTCCTTCACCAAAGTTATCTCTTTCCTGGGAAAGGTGCTATCCACGAGACCTTCCTGGAATCCATGACAAAAGGCGATAGGGCCAGGAATGAAAACGTCACCTGGACCTTCGATGCACATGGTCCAGTACGTAAATTGGAATCCGAGGGTGATTGGGTCAAGTTTGAAGAAGACCGTACAGATGTCTTCAAATTTCCTCAAGCATGGCCTGAGCCAGCGATGGAATGGTTGGTTCGTCCACGCACTGGTCCTTGGCCATCACCTGGTCTCGTCCAGGAAGTGTTTGAATCTGGCTGCCATATTGCACCAGTGGGAAGAGGTAAACGGGACCATGAACCGGTGGACATGATTAACTACCTAAAAGATCCTATTCAATCGACTTCCGGAGAGCAGGATGCATCAGTTATGGATCAAACTGAATGGAGACTATCTTTCTCTGTAGCTGAAAACAAACTTGCTCAAAGTGTAACTCCGATTCAACGACATGTCATGATTCTTCTAAAGATGATCAAGAAGTTTTATTTCCCTGATGTCGGCATATCAACTTATCTACTAAAGAATTTGATGTTTTGGGAAATCGAAAAGCAAAATGAAAGTTTTTGGAAGGAAGACAACTCAACCAAGTGCCTCCTGCATATGCTGAATCGTCTTCAGCAGTGCCTTGAAGAAGGATCTCTTTCACATTACATACTGCCAGAAAGCAACCTCTTAGCGTACGAAGACCCTAGGAAACTTGCAGAAGCAGTACACTTGATCTTTGATGTACGCAGAACATTTTTACCAAAGTCCATTAGCATGCTTCAGAGGAGTTTCTCATTGACATATCAGTCCAGCACCTTCCACCGAAGATTGTTTTTTGAACCATTTCTCGATAAGCTTCGTGATTCTACTTTGCCTGATTGTGAAATCAAAGAAATGGTTTGCTCATTGCTGCTTGTCTTTGCAAGCAGGGCCCAAGACTGCGTTCAGAGCATGTTAAGATTGCTCCAAAGAAGTGATGCAACTGAAGACCGAATACCAGGAATTCGCCTAACACTTCACGCCTATGAATCTCTACTTGCAAGATGCCTCGCGAAGGCATGGTTGGTCCGGCACTCTGTGAATGTCAATGAGCAGAAATTCATCGAGTTTCTTAAGAATGAATGTAAAAGTTTTTCTCCGAGTGATGAATTTATGCAGGTAGCTCTTGCTTTTCACCAGCACGCTTGTGAAGGGAAAGACCTCGGTAACTTAGTGCCCTATACACGTGCAATGGAAAATGTTAAGGAGATGTGCAGGCTAGCTGAAGAGCGCTCTTTGGAAGAGGGAAAAATGATGCAAAATATCATTGGATTGAACTCTAGTGACTTTAAAGAGGCTGGGAAAATTGTCAAGGAATTAATGAAAGGAGCCAAACTGGATGATGTTACTACAGAAGATTTAAACGCCAGACTTAATGATGCTTTAATGGAGATTTTCTTTCGAAACAAGTCCTCTTCGTTAACATCGGAATAAACTCATTACAACGGCATTCTATGAGAGTTCAAGATGACGTCGAGCTGATATTTTTATTAATCTGACAATAGTTCAAGAGTATTTTAACAACTGTTTATACATTGCCAGCAATTAAGCAAGAGTATATTTGAATAGCATTCTTATGAAGATGTGTTAATTTTGGTTAAAGCATGCAAAAGCTTGCTCATAAATATGAATGAAATACTTAATGAATTATAACTAAAAACTGGGCTGAATAAAAACTTTTTATATACGTCCTCGGCTTTTCGCGCCATGTTTTCTTCCTGTGTCTTTACTGCGTTAAATTGGCACTTAAGGTCGTCGGAAGAAAWTGCTCAACTAGGATGGGGTGAAGTGTTCAACTAGGGTGGGTTGCAGGAGTGTCTTTCGCTCTTTTAGTCTTTGTATTTGTCGCCCTACAAACGTTTATTTTTGATTATGACAAAGCATTTAAAATTGAAACTAATTTACAATAATAGGAAGTCGCTCAAGCCGCAGATCCAATTAAAAACTTCCTCCTCTTCTATAATTGATTGATCTTTGGGTTCTGTAATTTTTAATAYAAATGTTATTACTTTTACTTTACAGCTTTTTCATTATTAATTTCCATATTATGCATTATCCACGAGTTTGTGATTTTCCGTTGAGTACGTCAGGGAACTGAACCAGGATTGTGCTCTCTCTGAGCACGACTCTGATAGCGGCTTCAACACAATAGGCCATTTGCATGATGGCGTAACTTTACTACAACTACCAGAAAGCCTTGCGCATTTTCTTTGTTATTCAGATTTTTAATCCCCTTAGCGATTAGTAAAACAATTGGCACTAATTGCATTACAAAAGAAAGTGGGCAAAGCATTTTGGTAGTTGTAGTAAATGACACCATAATGCATATCGCCTATTGTAGCATATGAACACACAAAAACTGACGGGTTAAGAGCATCCCGGTCAAGCTGAACTAACTTTATCGTCAAAGACAATTAATTCCCATCGTAAATTGCAGTTTTTAATCAGATTTAATCTATCATTGTGTCAACTGTTTTGTAATTATCAGTACTTTCAAACAAAACATTGATTAATCGGTGATTTTAAATAACGGTCTTTTAGCCGACTGCTTCATACGTTGCTGCTAACTTTTCGTCGTCGAGTAAACACTTGAAGGAAGATCTGCTCCGCTATCACAATGAAAGCTTTCGTTTTTTTTTCTTTTTTTGATAATGGCTGTTGCAGGAATTGAAACAAGAAACAGCAAAGAAAAACGAAGTGATGTTACGAAGGACATCCTTAGTGAAGCAAGTTGTCGTTATCTGAAAACCCACGGGTATTTGGATAAGTACGCCAACTGGACAAAACTATGCCTCAAAACTTACAGTAAGTCCACTGCAAATTGA